TTTTTTCTCTTTTCAGTTAGATTCTCTGTTTAGTCCTTTCTACTTATGACATTCTAGATTAGGACATTTGTCGGCTAATCACTTATAGTCTTTAGCGCAGTCTGGTATATTGCGTAAAATTTTTCCTAATGAACTTACTGAATGTCGGAGGTGTAAACTTGCCAAAATGATAGCCTTACCTTTTTGTAAAAGTACTTCTATATCTGATACGCTATTTTTTTTAGTTCATACTGATGTTTGGGGCTCTTCTCTTGTTCTCACCAAAAATGGTTCTGCATACTATGTGTCATTTGTTGATGACTACACCCATTATACTTAGGTTTGTCTTATGGCTCATAAGTCCGATTTCTATCAGATATACCGTACCTTTCAATCTCTGATTACTACTCAGTTTGGGTCTACAATTAAAGTATTGCGGTTTGACTTGGGTGGGAAATATTTTAAAAATGAGTTCTGCGAGTATTTGGCCAATTTGGGTACCATTCACCAAACTTCCTATACACATACACCTGCCTAAAATGGTCAAACTGAGCGTAAACACCATCATCTCCTTGAGACAACTGGATCTCTTCTTCTCTCTGCCTCAATTCTGGTTCCATTCTGGGAGGAGGCAGTTCTTACTGCTGCTTTTCTTCTCAATCACATGCCTACTCCCATTCTTTCTGGTCGGTCTCTTTATGAGGCTTTGTTCTCCCAAATTCCTAACTACTCCTTCCTTCATGTGTTTGGGTTTACCTGTTTTGTCCTTCTTTCCCGCAAAAAATAGGACCAAACTTAGTGCCCGGTCTGTCCTCTGTGTCTTTTTGGGTTATAGTCCTACTCAGAAAGGCTATCGGTGTTACGATCCTGTTTCCCATCGTCTTTATGTCTCCCGTCATGTTTCTTTTCTTGAACGCCTACCTTATTTTCAACTTCCTCCTCTCACCGCCCCAGTTTCCAAAGAGGATTTGGTTCATATTGATCTGTTTCCTTCTGAGGTCCCATCTGATGAGTACATCTCCACAGTTCCTTCTGAGCTTGTTCCATCTTTTCCTCATACTTCACCTCTGGCTGCTTCTCCTCCTTCGGTTTTTTCTTTCCCTCCGTTGGTCTATTCTCGTTGCTAGGCTCCTCCACCACTAGTTGTCTCTACTCCTGTTGTTGCTTCTTCTGCTTCTGACGACTCTGATCTTGCTAATCACCGACATCCTACTCGTCAGCGTCGTCCTCCAAACAATTTAGATTGGTATAATACATGTTTTTCTGCTTCCTATCGTACTTTTTTGTCTGTTATTCATTCTTTTTCAGAACCTCAGTCTTACACGGAAGCCTGTTCGGATCCTAATTGGGTTCAAGTTATGGAGGATGAGTTGTTTGCCTTGTAGAAGACTAACACTAGGGAGTTAGTTCCTTTGCCTGCTGACAAGAATCTGGTTGGTTGCAAATGGATCTATAAAGTCAAGACTCATTCTGATGGTTCTCTCGAGCAATACAAAGCTCACTTGGTTGCAAAGGGTTTCTTGCAGGAGTATGGTATTAATTATGAGGAGACATTTGCCCTTGTTGTCAAGATGATTACTGTCCGTACCTTGATTTCTGTTGCTGCTGTTCGACATTGGCCTCTTTATCATATGGACATTAAGAATGCTTTTCTTAACGGTCATCTCAATGAGGAAGTCTACATGCGTCCTCCCCCTGGCCTTCTCCACTCCTCTGGGCAGGTTTGTCATCTTCGGCGTGCTCTGTATGGTTTGAGTCAATCTCCTCGTGCTTGGTATGATCGCTTTCAGACTGCTGTTACCGAGCTTGGGTTTCATCCTTCTACTTCCGACTTTGCTTTGTTTTTGGGACATACCTCAGCTGGTTTTGTTGATCTCTTACTCTATGTGGATGAAATGATCATCACTGGCTCTGATTCTTCTGCTATCTTTGAGGTCAAGCAACATCTCTTTTGCACCTTCGAAATGAAGGATCTGGGTCCATTGCGGTATTTTCTTGGTATTGAGGTTGCCTCTTCTCCAAAAGGGCTATTTCCCGTCTTAGGCAAAATATCCTGATGAGGTTATTTACCGTACCGGTCTTACTGATACTAAGATTTTTGATACACCTATTGAGCTTTGTTAAGCTCAACTCTACTGATGGTATCCCTCTGGATGGTCCCACTGTCTATCGCGAGCTTGTAGGTTGTTTAGTTTATTTGACTGTTACTTGCCCTGATCTTGCTTATGCTATGCATGTGGTTAGTCAGTTCGTTTCTACTCCTCGCTCTGCCCATTGGGCTGCTTTGGTTCGCATTCTTCGTTATCTCCGGGGTGCCATCTTTCAGGGTTTATTGTTGTCCTCTACTTCCTTTTTGGACTTGGTGGCCTATGTTGATTCTGATTGGGTTGGTGATGTTAATGATCGCAAGTCCACCTTTGGTTTCTGTATGTTTCTTGGCGATTCCTTGATCTCTTGGAAAAGCAAGAAACAAACTGTTGTTGCTCGTTCCACTGCCGAAGCTGAGTACCATGCTATAACTCATGCTTCTGCTGAGCTTGTTTGGCTTCGTTGTCTTCTCTCTAATTTGGGTGTCCCTCAGTCTTCTCTGACCTCTCTCTATTGTGACAACCGCAGTGCTATTCAAATTGTCTACAATACTATCTTCCATGAACAGACGAAACACATTAAGATTGATTGTCACTTTGTTTGACAGCATCAGTAGTCTAGCTCTCTCACTTCCCTTTGTCTCCTTGGCTTTACAACTTGCGGACTTCTTCACCAAGACTCACACCACCGCTCGGTTTCAGTTTCTTGTTAGCAAACTCTCAGTGTTTTCTGCTGAAACACCTTGAGTTTGAGCGGAGGTGTGAGAATATATTGTATATATGGCATGATTGTATATATGGCATGGTGATGTATATTAGGAATTAGGCGTTAATTAGGCGTATGTGTTTCCTTTTTCAGTCATTCCTTATTCATCCATAGATTTAGTGCTATATAAACTGATGAATACTTTGTAAACATTGACAATTATATATACAGAAAAGCTTTCAGGAATCTTACAAACCATATTGATGAGAGTCCACTTGCCTCAAACCCCTAGAAGTTTGGAAAAAAACATGTAAGGGTACCAACACCAACATCCTCCCAATAGATATGTAAAACTCAATCCATTTCCTCCACTTCACCTTGAAACCCATTCTCTCCATTATATAAAGCAAAAGATCCCAATTTACATGATCACAATTCTTTTTTATATCCAGCTTACACACCACTTCGAGGACCCTTCCTCTCAACCTGAAGTCAATACTCTCATTCGCCACTCAAACAACATTCAAAATTGCCTGCCATTCAATAAAAACATTCTAAGATTCCAAAACAATCCCTCCCAACATGCTTTTCAACCTAATTGTGAGCAACTTATAAGTCCCTGACCCTGTCAACAAACTAACGGATCTGAAATCCCTAATATCCTTTGCTCCACCCCTTTTGGAAGCAATGCAACAAAAGACGCATCAAAGGTCTTTTCGAGCTCCCCTTGCTCAAAGAAGAGTGCATCATACCCCCTCGACAACCACCTCCTAATACTTCTGAAAGAAAACCAAAGACATCTCATTCGGGTCATGAGCTTTATCCCCCATTCATTACTTTCAAAGTCATCACGACCTCCTCTTCAGTGAGAGCTCTTTCCAACTAAGCCTTCTTTTTAGAGGAAATAGAAGAATACTATATCCCATCCAATCTGACTCCTCCCTTTGTCTTTGAATACATCCTATGATAAACTTATGCCACACCCTGTTAAATCTCCTCTTCTCCTATTGACTGTCTTATCACCAATCCCAATCTTGGTAATGAAGTTCTGACATTGACTAGCAACAGACATCTATTGAAAAAATAAAAAAAATAAAAAAATTGAGTGTTCAATCAATCATCCTTAAGCCACAGAGATCTCAATTTCTGTCTCCAACTAGTGTTTTTCATCTTAGCAATACTGCTAAACTTCTGCTTCACCTTCTCCCAAATCTGCCTTCACCTCATCAATCCAACAAATCTCCCCAAGTGCTTTCATTTTTTGTACCTCCAGCATCCTGAACTCTTCTTTGTTACACCTCAAATCCTCTTTCAGTAACTTGAATTTTCTTGCCAACACAAAGCTCAACATATGCTCAACAACATCACTATTCCCCATCCTCCTCTCTCCTTAAACTTGCTGCCACATGTCCTCAAACCTAAAAGAACACCACCCTTGTCTCATGCTTCTGCACGAAATATCCCGAATTTATATTAAACTTATTATTTGCTTGCTTCACATGGTACTTTTACTCATTTAGCAGACAGTTACATGCTTTAGATGTAATATTTATGCAGTGTCAAATCACTTGCAACTACTCTAGCAACACAAATATGTTTATAAGAGGATGAACAAATTTTCTTGTATTTATTAATAAGTTTATTCATAGCAAAAACATGTAAAATTCTGAATAGAGCCAACTAAAGAAAATGGATCCATGTATCCAGTAACCAGTAATTGGAATAAAAAGGCTTGTAGAGTTGAGAAGTAAAAAGAGTATGTTATTGCAGATAGATTTTCTCCAAGTCTGGTGCTACTGATGTTTATTTTATTTGTGCCGAAACTATATAGATATGCTATCAAGTCTTTGATTTGAGCCACTGTCCCTTCTTCCCTTTGAAGCAATTGTCCTTTTGTTAGGAATACGAATATCAAGACCATTCATTCTTTTTCTTTTACAATAGCCCTTATAAAGTGGTTTGCTTGAGCAGAAGTGTAAGAGCAATAAGTATGAGCATATCAGACTAATAGAATTACATTTTGGAAATGTTGCTAATGAATAAAGCTCTATCAAAAATATTATTGTTCTCTTTGCAAATAAGGAGCTTGTACCATTTATTGCGAAGAAGAAGAGAAGCAAAAAAAAAAATATTGGGTCCTTTTATGGTTACATGATGTAGCATGTTGGTAATGCATGTTTGGAAATAACAAATGAATGATTTAGTATTGATCATTTGTGTTCATGCAGTCGGAAACGTTTCACTGAGGAACAAGCAGAGAAGTGGTGGGCTGAAAATGGGTCTAGAGTTTGTGAGCGGCAAAATATACAAACATCGTAGTAGTATGCAGCTGCCACTCCCATTTGTTCTAATTGATGAAAGGGGAAGCCTGACCTGTTTTGTATGACCCTCTTCCTTTACTGGAAATTGTAAATTTTTTTCTTTTTTCTTTTTGTGGCTCCATGTACTGAAAGCTCATGCCAAGGATCCTGGGTCACAGACAATTGGAGGTAGACTAAGATGTAAGAAAAAGTGTAGGAAACTGTGTAAAAAAACCGATGGAAGTAATGGAAACCCATTTTGAGTAATCGTGGAGATAAGTCCGGTTCCGGTTGTGGAAACACCATTTTCTACGGTATTTTTTACCCCTTACAATGAGAGTGGGGCCCATTTCATTAATTGGCATGGGTCTCACTCTCATTGTAAGTATTGTTTTTCTTTCCGCATTCATTTTCTTCTATGTGCATAACCAACTCTTCAAAATAAAACCAAGGACCTCTGCATTTCTCTGTCGTGGGTATTGAGCCTTGTGCTCTTCTTTTCTTATGTTCAAGTTGTAAAAGTCTGGATATGCATACATAGGTCTGTATGTCTTGTGATTCTTTTGTAACAAGGTCGAACCATTAAAAAAAAAAAAGGTTAAATGCACTTTTGATTCCAAAAATATGTATATCATGTCATTTTGGTCTTTTATCTTTTCCATTCTGTCAATTTAATTTTGAAAATGCAATTGTTTTTATTTGGTACCATAACTTGATCTTGTCCAAAATAATGACAGAATTAGGGGTATGTGTACATTTTTCCCCCCTTTCCTTTCTAACAAACAATAACCATTTGTAACCAACCATAGGCTGGGAGTAGAGTTGCAAACGAGTTGAGTTGAATCAAATTTTTGAGTATTCGAGCTTGGTTTGCTAAGAATTAGTTGGGCTACTTGAGCTCGTATGTTAAAAAACTTAGAGCTCGAAAAAAATTCAAACTTAAAATAATTTGCTTATTAAGAGAAAAGAAAGACAATTAATTATGAATAAATAATGTTTATATTAATAATAAATTTTATCAATTAAATATATAAATTTACAAAACACTAAATGTAAATTGAAAACTAAAAAATAATAATAAATTTATTTGATATAGTATTAAAGCTAAATATTTTTTTTAAAAAAATTTTTTTACGTTCATAATATTTATTATGTCCAGTTGGAGTTGACTGAGGCCACCTCAATTACTAAACAAGCTTAAAATACAAGCTCCAACTTGTTTGTTATTTTTGTTCATTTTAAAGCAGGATAATGAGAACAAAGAAATGTTTTAATTAGTTTTTCGCCTAAATAATGTTTTGAAATCAGGATATAACAATGGTAGTGGATTTCTTGCTTTGTTGCTTGTTTTCTATCTAAACTTAAACCAATACTTATCATTTAAGCCGGATTTTAAATGGATTATAAGATGTAATTAATTAACCACTCATTTATAGATTTGGACAAATTTAAATGTATAAACTCAGAAAGTGTTTCATTTTCTTTTATTAACACTGTTTTTACCTTAAAATGGCAAAAGTAATTTTCAGGTTTCTTGAGCTTGCATTGATAAACATGTTCAATATAATTTTTTAAGAAATCAATGTTAAGTTAGAAAATAATGAAATTCACTCACTCACATTCACTTGGCACGCATCCCAGGGTAATGAAATATAGCATACAATAATAATAACAACAATGATTCATCCCACTAAAAATATCATCACTAATAGCACTAATGCATTAAAAAAATAAAAAAAATAAAAAAAAATTACAACTCCAAGACCAAAACATCACATCATTCATGGCGGGACCCACTGCCACCTAATTAGTGGGAGCACTAATTAGTGCTCCCAAGCATTTTTCTAATAATAAAGCGTTTAAGTTATAGACCATTGAATAATTACATTTAATACAATAGGATGAGATAAAGACGTGCATGCCCCAATTAGATGATCTGATAGTCATAGTTTAAAGGGAGAACTACTTCTCAGTGGGCAATGAAAAAATAAATAACAAATTGATTTTTTTTTTATTTTTATTTATTTGTAATTACAAGATAAATAGGATGAATAATTTTAAGGATTTTTTTTAGGGTCCCTGATATTAAGATTTTATAGCATGAAGAACATTCAATATTTTCATAATGTCTAACGTCCATCAACATTGATCCAGAGAAATTCTATCCAAAGAAATTCTAGACTTTCCAAAGAATTTCTTTGGGTTCAAACCTTGAACATTCAAATTTCTCTGGACTTCTTTAGACTAACATCAAATTTCTCTGGATCTCTGGACTAACATAAAAAACCCTTGAACCTTTCACAAACTTCTCTGGACTAACATTCAAATTTCTCTGGACTAACATCAAATTTCTTTGGATCTCTGGACTAATATAAAAATACTTGAACCTTTCACAAATTTCTCTAGACTAACATTCAAATTTCTCTGGACTAACATCAAATTTCAACAGTAGAAAAAATCAACAATTCTAAAGCCGCAAATGTTGAAAGTTTTAGAGTCAAACAAATCAAATTCCCAAACAAAGACCCTTTTAGAAAACAAATATACATAAAATAGATTAGAACTACACACATACATATATATACATATGAAAGGTAAAGGAGTGAGTGAGTATATCAAAAAAGAATCAAAAAATCTTACTTTACAGCAAAAAATTGACTTTTATAAAGAAAGAGAGAAAGTAGAGAGAGAGAGAGAGAGAGAGAGAGTCAAACATAAACAATACCTGAGAAAGAGACAAATTGAGAGTGTGAATCTGAGAAGCTCTTACTTTAAAAACCTTAGAAGCTCCAAAAATTGAAATTTGGGCAAACGCTTCCTTTTACAACACCTCCACCATAGAAGAAGTATAAAATGAGAGCTTTAGACAGAAAAGGGAGAGAGAGAGCACTTACAGATTGTGAGAGAGACATTTTTATTTGCTGAAAACATGGAAGAGAGAGAGAGATGGGTTGTTTGGTGCGAGAACAGAGAGGAGAGAGAATGAGAGAGTTGGTGTTATATATGGGTGTGGGTGAGGGACCTTAAACTACAAAAAAAATTATTGTGGACCTCTTCCATTATCAAAAGTTAGAGAGAGATGTTTGACCAATTTTTTCCAATTTTAATTATAAAAGTGGTAAAATTGGTATCTACACTCCGCGCACTAACTCACCAATCTAATTCTTCTCTCTGTCCTATCATTTCTATTCCTTTCACGACTCTTTCTTTTCTCTCTCCTTCCTTTCTTCCACACATTTTCTCTTCCGTCCTTTTGTTTGGGATAATTACATTTTACCCCTTATGGTTTCGCACGTTTACAAATTACCTCATTGACTTTTATGAATGTACTCATAAACCCCTTGTGATTTTGAGTGATGTGTAAAAGTGACGAGACGTGACGGAATTAATGAAAAGACCAAAATACCCTTTCTTTTCTTCAATTTTTTGTATGAATTCTATTTTACTTCCATTTTTCTCATAGTTGAATTGTCTCTCTATAAATGAGCATGTGGTAGAGTTATAGACCGGGTACGATGATGGGTCAGACTCGGGTACCTATTTCCCTTGGAAGAAGTTGCATCCTCCAACATGGGTTTGTTGGAGGAGAAGATTCAATAGTGCAAACAAAATGCATCCAACTCACAAACCCATTTGGAGAGTTTTAGAGAGAGAGAAAAGAGAGGTTTTGGAAGAGCATTGATATATGAGAGGAGAAACCTGTCACGACCCAAACCCACCCCTATGGGTTTAGTACCGTAACCGGCCAGTAATCCGAGATTACCGAAGGCCTGCTTAACAGTAATACAGTAATACAGAGTACAGGGGTTGGCAGAACCCAAAACAGTAATTAAAAGATGTCCAATGAGCTGTGACAGTCTGTATGCAAAAAGACTTTTCAATACACATGTACAATCAGTACCAAAACAGTATGTACAATATATACAATCATTCAGGATAGGGACTTAATCCCTATTAGAACAGTACAGTACAACATCATTCAGTCTATACAGAACATAAACAAAGAGGGGGAAAACTAAAACACCCAAAGCAGCCTCAGCTTGAACAGTTCTGGAACTTCAAAGTGAGGCACAAAGGTTGGCTTAACAAAATAGGAGTTAAGCTTGACGCCCCTAGCAACGGTCCGGTGCCTGAACAGCTACATATATATATATATATATATATGAGCAGTGAGCTAAAGCCCAGTGAATAACATATGCGTAAAGAGGCTAAGAATGAATGTCCTTTCAGTATTGAAAACAGTCATTTAAACAGTATATCAGTCATTCAGTTTGTGGCTCATAATTCATGTCATAACAGTCATTCCGAAACTATAATAGTCATATGTGTTACATCCATTAGCAAAGCAGTACAGCAGGTCTTAACAGACCGAGCAGTCAATGATGGCCATCATATCAGTAAATAGTAGCGGTTCCAAACATGGGAACTGACAGAAATCTCTGTAACAGTAGCAGTAACAGTTCAGTAACAGTATATTGCTATGGATGCCACGAATACAGTTTACAAATAGGACAAACATTCATTCAGTAAACAGTGTCATTTCATAAAGCAGTACAGTCATTTGTTCAGAAAATAATCTCAATTGAACATATCTTTACAACATTGTTACTCACAGAGTTCTGGGCTACAGGTAAGCTAGTACGCGTCCTTGGATGCCAACCCTACACAGTTACAGAGTGAACACACACTAAGCTACACAGTTGGGAAATAATAACTTAATCCCTAATTTGCCTCAGTGTAGTTCTACATTAATATCCTTATTAAGATACCTTAAACTAGGCTTAAGAATGCCTAAAATGGAATGAGGATGCAAAGATGCACTTTAAAAACATTTTTAGAATTTTCAGAAAACAGAGGTCCCGCACAAGTGTGGGTTTCCCCGCTCGAGTGAACATGCAAACAATAGGCTCTGCTCGAGCGTAAACTTTCCCACTCGAGCGGACTGCAAAAGTACTGGATGTGTGAAAATCACGCTCGATGGGCGCTCGACACCCGTTGAAGCGTGTGACACAAGTCCTCGCTCGAGCGTGCAAAACCCTGCTCGAGCGGAATGTAAACACAACAAAAGTGCTGGATACACGAATTTCCCGCTCGAGCGGGAGTCCAAAATCTGGAATTTTCAGATTTGAACCTCAAGCTCAAAATCAAGTTTTAATGCATCAAATTCGATCATCTTGGGCTAATTTTCTGGAAAACACTTGTAAATTCATA